TGGAAAAATTCAGTCCATGCCTTGAGTGAGGCTGGGAGCTGTGATTTTGCTAGGCTAAAAAAAATTCAATCTTTATAGTGGTCTTGCGCGAGGCCCTAGGCAGTCGCCTAGTTCGCCTTACAGTAGAGCCACCTATGCATGTCACTCATCAATCAGATGACCTTCGTACACTAAGACTGAAGTGCAAGGGTGGTGGGACACCAGGCCATTATCCAATTTGCTGAAGAATCGCAGCTGTCCATTTATCCTTCCTGCAAGATAACACGGTTAGTGGCCAATTAGTGAACCAGTTCCTGACTAGAACAGCAATCAGTAAGAGTTAAACGTGTTTACTTGAGTGACTTTCTGTATTCAGGATTAATTGAAAGTAAACAGATTTCGAAATTAATTATCTATTGACCAAAGAGAGAGTAGTAAACACATGGTACTTTCCAGTGCCACACAGTGTTACAAACCAACTGTAACACTATTAATTAACTCCAAGAATTATTTTATGGAAATTCGTATTTATTGTTTGTGCTAGTAAAAATACATGGGACAGGTATGGTCTAGTTAAAAGCGTGAATTCAATGGTCGCTAGTTCGTGTTCCATAGTCGAAAATATTCGATTAGTACTTTTAAGCTGTGATGTATTATACAAGTGAAGATATTGACTAGCTAGCTGTCTTTCCAATAGTTCCAGATACCTAAGACCATGGCGCCTGGTAGGTTAGGGCACTCGACTCGCAATATGAGGGTCACGGGTTCGAATCCCCGTCCCACCGAACATGTTTACCCTTTCAGCCATAGGGGTTATAAAGTGATGGTCAATCCCACTATTCATTGGCAAAAGAATAACTCAATAGTTGGAGTGGGTGGTGTTGATTAGCTGCTTTCCCTCTAATCTATCACTGCTAAATTAGGGACAGGTAACGCAGATGGCTCTCGTGTAGCTTTGTGTGAAATAAAAAACCTAAGACCCCCCCCCCCCAAACATCTATCATATTACTCTTCATTATATATTTATTATCATATTTACAACAAGCTCTTTGAATATTCGAAAAAATAGGAATACAATTATAGACTAAATCAGGGATAATATCATTAAGTACAGTAGTATTTAATAGTAGGGATCGTGATGAAACAAATTGACAGCCATAGAAATTGCCCGTTTAAAACCACCTTTAAGATGTCTGAATATTAACAATAATTATTTCACAGTATTGGCAGAGCAAAACTAAAGCTTATTTTCCTTATAAAGCCGCCTAAATCGCTATACGTGTTTATGGAGTGAATCAAAATTTCACTATTTCAACGAATTTTCATTTAAGTAAGTAAGTATATAAGTGACTTTTCTGGAGAAGCGTACAGAGAAAATGAAGAACCTTATTGCTATAATTCTGTCACAGAACTCTTCCGTCTAGAGTCTCAATGATTCCTTTCTTCTACCGAAAAAGATACTAGTATACATATATATAAAACGGCCAAAGCGCTACTTTGGGCAGATAATTAGATTTGATGATAGATTGGTAATGATGAGTAATAAAATTGAATCGAGTATACTCGCTCCCCAAGCTTGGTATTGCTGGCGCTCAAAAATATAACTAATAAAAAGGAAACAAACAAGATTAAAATAATTACAATGATCTGCCAAAGTAGGGATAAACAGTTCTAAATTTTAAGTATCCCAGTTTTTGAGTTTTGACTTTTTGTTTCAATACTTTTTGTAGTATTAAAACTTTCTATATTACTATAGCTAGCTTAGATTTTATTTTGAGAAGCATTTACCATCATATGAGGGACCATAAGCTTGTTCTCAAGTGAACGTTTGATAACCACGAATATAGTGTTCGATTCTCTGTATTGCAGTTTCTCTGTTCTTGATGATGGCTGTTTACTGGGGCGTTGGGTTATTGTTTACCATCGTGGACGTTACAGGGGCTCCTACTTTTCTTCTGCGGTACAAAGTTCAAGATCTTTCCGCAAGAGCTTATCCTGTAAGTTAAACTTTAGCTTGAAAATAGTGCAGTAAAATTTAATCGTTCATTATGTAATAAGCTTCAAAACTAATGATAGTTGTAGCGAAATATGAGAGATCACTTACTCAGCAATATCTTAGTAGG